CAACAGTATTACCTCTCTCCATACAACTCCCACTGTCAGTGTCAGAAATCTTGGCATATTGGCCACCCAGCTAAATGCTGTCACTCCACAGCTCACTGCCCTCAATGTGTCCAACCTGGTTATGACTGTTCAAATTGTTCCATTCAGTCACACATGTGTACCAATTGTGGTGGCTCCCATATTGTATTTTATTAGAGCTGCCCTGCTAACAAGCTCAAATCTGAGGTAGCAGTTCTCAGATTCAAACTAGGCCTCACTCTACATGAGGCCAGACAAGAAGCACGCTGATGATGTTTTACTCATTCTACCTATTCCAAAACTTTACTTTGCTCAGTCTCAGCATCTCCCCCGGTATCTCTTCCCTCTACCCTGAACCATCCTATCTCTACTCTTTCTCTCCCCTAATGGGCATCACTTTTCCCTCTTCTTCCCCATTATCCTCACCACTCCCACCTAGATGTTCACATGACTCCCTTATGTCACAACAATGTGCTTCTCTAGATCTCTCCCCTCCTAACATTCTTCACGACACTTCTGATTGCTCAATATCTTTAACCCCGGCCTCTTTTACAAATCCCATTTGCTCCTCCTCTATACCTTTTTCACTACCATTCCATCCTTTGACATCTAACACAATTTATCCTGATCGCTAACTCATTTCCACCCTTTTTGACAAAATACTTTACCATAGTACTATATGGCCTTTGATATCTTACATTTATATTTCATGTAACCATTAACCATTAACCATTCTTGAGCAAATAATTAAGTAATTTTCAGATATTAGAAAATACAGCTTACCAAGAACAAAAAAAAAGGAAAAAAGTCAGAGATGGCTAAAAAAGCTACCAAAAATATACATATCACAGAAGCAGAGTTATTTGTTATAAAACAAAGAGTGCAATACATTCAAACTAACAAAATAACAGACTCTGTAATCTTCACAGATTCCCACTCAGCATTACAGTTGATAATAAACCACAAACAAAAACAAAAAAATCATATATGAGATAAAGCAGACAAAATCCCACTGCCATAAAACAAACAATAAGAGAAAAAAGTAGTGGGAAAGCAATTAATAGAAGTTTATGTTGCAACTTAAGTAAGAATTACATACTTTATGCTGTAAAAAAAAGTTATTGATAACATGGTTGCATATTTACATTATATATCTAAAAAAAAATATGTTGTCCATCAAAATTCTTTTACTGAGACGTTTTTTACAGACCTGCCTGTTGCTTCTATGATCAAAGTCTTACAAAATCTGTGTGTTCTGCAAGTTTTGCTTCCAAAGCTGAGACTCATCCCCCAGAGACCTCAAGCATTCTCTTCACTTAGACTGATCCACATGGGCACGCAGGAGCACAGTCACAACTTTTACAAACTCACCCCAGTAAAGTTGGGGTGCGAAGTCAGAGGGATCGACCTGAAGCAAGATGTTCCACCAGAAGGTACTGGGGAGTGTGTTCTTGTGTGACCTGTTTTTATCTCTTTTATTTACAGTTTTGGTGCCTCTTTTTTTGTTCTTTTTGGTTTTTGTTTTTCCTTCTTTTATGTGTTTATTACTCAAAGAGGCATTATATACGGATAGTCATCAGCGGCGTGGCCAGGGTAAATAAAGTGGGGGGGCAAACTAATGAGGGGGTCGGGGGGTGAAGCCCCCAGGAAAATTTTTGGGGCCACGCCCTTTACTTTGGCTTAGAATGCATCTCCTAATATCATGCTTGTCATTAGCTTGTCATTGTATATATACAAACTTTGCTGCCGGAAAAATTATTACCCAACCTATACCCCGCCATTTTCTCTTCGATTTTAAAGGAATCTCGAGGACCATCTTTTGGCAAAAGTGGGGGGGCAATTGCCCCCCCATACCCCCCCGTGGCCACGCCAGTGATAGTCATCTAATCACTTAATGTAACCAATGAGTCTAAATAACTTTTAAGAGTGATATTTGGAAACTACTTTATTCTCTCTCTCCCTAATCTGTTCCTGAGTCACTTCAGGGATTGAACCTAGTTCCAGTATTTATTGTTACAGGATCCCTCTCTTGCTTCCCAGTTTCATCTCAACTTAGATTTTTTTTTTTTTTTTTTTTTTTTTTTTTTTTTTTTTTTTTTTTTTTTTCATAGCTAATTTTTTATGGATGCCTCTCTATGGTGGGAGAGAGGGTGTGATGCAGTGTTTAACCCATTCATGAAGAGGAAAATGAATAAAAAATGGGGAAAATGCTGTGCTCATTATTTTTTAATTTTTGTGAAATGTCTCTACACATAGATTGCTCTGCCTTACCTGATTTCACCTTTCCTTGAATTGGCGGGAAAATGTATTTTTTTTTTTACTAGTGCTATGAATATCAATGTTATTTTTATTATAAACATTATAATTACTATAATGTTATAAACATTAGTAATAGCAAGATAAGATAACGTAAAACGTTTTCGTAAATTAAAAGAAAGGGTAAATGGGCGAGACAGGCAGTACTCGTAATTGGCTCATTGGTGATTTAGTACAAGTGTAGCCATCTGTGTGTAAAAACAATTAAACAAGTAAACTCACAGTAGGCATGTCACATATACGTGACATGCCCGTCACGAATGGGTTAAAGGCAGGCATATTTTCAATATAATTCAAGTCTTTAGAAACTCTGTACTAAAGCTCTTAAACCTATTGATTTCTGGTATTTTAAAATCAGTCTGAAATGCTGGTAGTCATATTTTAACTCAATGCCACTTGGAAAATGCTGTGCTTTCTTTTTTGTGTGTGTGTGTGTGTATGTGCGTGTGTGTGCGTGTGTGTGTGCGTGTGTGTGTGTGTGTGTGTGTGTGTGTGTGTGTGTGTGTGTGTGTGTGTGTGCATGCATGCGTGTCTGCGTCTGTGATTGCATGTGCGTGCATGTGTGCGTGTGTGAAATATTCCGGTCAATTAGTAGACTTTGTGACCTTACCTGATTCATCTTCCCTTGAATCTGCAGGAAAACTTTTTTTTTTTTACTAATGCTATAAATATCAATGGTGTTAATTTTATTATAGACTTTTATAATTACTATAATAAAGTAAATTCACAGTGAGCATGGCATATACGTACATGCCATGCCTATTGGATCTGGGCTAATTGAAATGTAATTTTCATCTTTCTGTAGTTATGGCAGCTATCAAGGAAGATGTCACTAAACACAGGCTATTAATTTTCAAGGTAAGAAGGCATGAGTATGGTCTTGATTATCATTGACTGATATTGAAAATATACATTGCATTGACTTTGATGTCCTCTCTTTCATTCTCTCTCTTTCATTCACTCTCTTTCATTCTCTCTCTTTCATTCTCTCTCTTTCATTCTCTCTCTTTCATTCACTCTCTTTCATTCTCTCTCTTTCATTCACTCTCTTTCATTCTCTCTCTTTCATTTTCTCTCTCTTTCATTCTCTCTCTTCATTTCTCTCTCTTCATTCTCTCTCTTCATTCACTCTCTTCATCTCTCTCTCTTCATTCACTCTCTTCATCTCTCTCTTCATTCACTCTCTCTTCATTCTCTCTCTCTTTCTCTCTCTCTCTCTCTCTCTCTTGTCTCCTCTCTCTCTCTCTCTCTGTGTCTCCTCTCTCTCTCTCTCTCTCTGTGTCTCCTCTCTCTCTCTCTCTCTCTCTCTCTCTCTCTCTCTCTCTCTCTCTCTCTCTCTCTCTCTCTCTCTCTCTCTCTCTCTCTCTCTCTCTCTCTCTCTCTCTCTGTGTCTCCTCTCTCTCTCTCTCTCTCTCTCTCTCTGTGTCTCCTCTCTCTCTCTCTCTCTCTCTCTCTCTCTCTCTCTCTCTCTCTCTCTCTCTCTCTCTCTCTCTCTCTCTCTCTCTCTCTCTCTCTCTCTCTCTCTCCCCCCCCCCCCCCCTCTCCCTCTCCGTCTCTCTCACAACTTTTAGAAATAAAGGAGTTATAACAGATTAATTCCTACAGGACCAAGGTGTTGTGAGTGGGGAGAGACATGTGGAAATCGCCAAGTGGTTCAATGAGCCTGAGTCAACCTTCTATAAGCATCCACGATCACCACATCCAGATGTGTTTCGAGTGTCCAATGATCGATCAGAGGGTTGCACAAGTATGTTGTACAGTTGGTCAGAAGGTGGCATAATGATGTGCAGTGCTTTTTATGCTAGGGTACAGTGATTTTATGCTGGCAAGCAGGAAACAAGAAAGGAGGCAGGGATTTGAAAAGAAAGAGGCCAACAGTAGGAAAGGGTGAAAATTATTAATCCTATTCACATGATCCTGATCATGGCACTTCTTCCTTCCCCTTTCTGTGAAACAGATGTGAGGATATTAAGGTTTGTTATTGTGTGTTTAATAAAAAGTAATTTTTGGATGCAGATGTGTTAGGAAATTGTCAAGTTGTAATCACTTTTGCATTTGTTTTCAGATGTTGGACGTACAGGATGGCACATAGATGGCAGTTTTCAAGAGGCACCATTTGCATATGCACTCTACCATATGGTACATTAGTTTGTTTTTCTTTATGGAATTAACACAGTATTATTTTGATTGTTTATTATTATTATCATTATTGATATTCTTTGTAATTATCATTATCATTGTAGGTCACATAATTTTTTTTTCTTTCTTTTTTTTTTTTTGGTTGTTGTTGTTGTTGTTATTGTTGTTGTTGTTGTTCTTCCTCTCCTCCTCCCTCTTCTCCAAGATATAGAGGATGGAATAGTTTGTATGAAATATAAAATATTATTCAACCAGTAACAAATAAACAAAAACTTTTACCACCACAGGTCAGCGTGCCAAGCAATGGTCCAACCGTCTTTGCTCCGTTGACAGATATAATAGAAGAGCTGCCAAGGGAGCAAAGAATTCGATGGGAGAGGTTGTACATGATTAGTGACAGAAGGTCTGGTCCAATCCACCCCCTTATTTACTCGCATCCTATAACAAAGATGAAGGTATTCAGATGATACAAAGGCCTTTGGTGCATTTCCGCTTTCTTAGTAGAAAGAGTTTTACATTTTTTTACATTGTATTTAGCAGGCATTGAATTACCATGTAACTTAACCCCTAAAAACCCAGTTAGCCATATTCACCTTTGCTACCAAATAACCAACCATCTGAATTCAACTGCACCCCATTTTTTTGGCTAACTTATTTTCAGGAACTTGTGTGAGGTGGTGCAGAGGTGATTATAGAATAAGCCCATATAAGAATTTCCATCATACAAACATAATATAATAGTCGAAACACTTTCCTTCTTGCCAAGAAAAGTAAATGCTTCACTCATTTGGCCACAAGACACACACACATGTATGTATGTATGTATACACATATATATATATATACATTTATATATACATATATCCACACATATACATTTATAAATACATTTATATACATACGTACATATAGATATATACATATATAAATATAATTATATGTATGTATTTATGTATATATATATATGCACATATGTATACACATTTATATACACATATACATGAATATATGTATATATATACACATACATTATATATATATATAGAGAGAGAGAGAGAGAGAGCCATATATCCATATATATTGTATGTATTTATGCATATATATATATGTATGTATACACACACACACATACATATATATATATATATATTTTCATTCTCATTTGTGTATTTTGTTACTAGGTACTCTGTTTCCACTTGGGCATGACAGACTCCTTCATCTGGGACTACAAGACTCCACAGGAGCGCATCACTAAAGAAGAGGAGACCTATTCTTTGCTACAAGAAATTCACCATGAATTCATAAAGAATAATAAAGTTCGGCAGTTTAGCCATCAGGTACTGCCTAGTGCTCTCATGCCAGAAATGTTGTCTCTTTTTATGCTTTTCAGTGAAAAGAAATTTTAACATTTCCTGTTATTGATGAGGTCCCATATTTAGCATTGTGAAAGATAATGATCATTTACCTGTTAGATATTCTCCACAGAAGCTCTTATAATTGCCAAGAGTAATGTGCATTTAATTTGTTTACTTCTAAAGGCCTAAGTATATTTGATTAATTGCAGTGGGAAGTTGGAGACTTCATCATATCAGATAACCTCTCTGTGGGACATGAGGCAGCTCCTGAAACTCAGCTCCCCAGAAGTCAAGTAGGCCTAAGGATCCTCCACCGTGTCACAACCAAAGGCCATTATCCTCCAGCAAAGGAGTATGATTATCGCAAAGAACTAGGACTCTGAAGTCTGATCACTTTGGGAACTCATATGCTTTAAATTATTTCTCATAGCATGGCCAATGATACCCTTCTGAGAGTGCTATAATGAGCATAGGCATTAACTTGTATTAAAATGCCTCTGACTGAAAATACAATTTGTATTAGGGAAATGCAGGTAGTTATTGAAAATATTGTGGAAGGCTTCAGTAATCTGTATATGCAAAGATACATGTACGAGGTATGTTCAATAAGTAATGAGAAATTTTTTGGAGAGGCATTATTTTTTTTGAAGCTTACAAAACTTGGTCAAGTTCAACATAACTGCCTCTCACAGCTACACACTTGCACAGGTGTTTATCCTGGAAGACCTATTAAACCTTCTGCAGTCCATTCAGTTACTTTGCCAATGCCTCCTTCATCTCCTGTTTAGTCAAATTCAAACTTCCTTCATGTTGTTTTTCATGAGAGAGAAAGGGAAAAGGTCACTGGGGGTGTGGTTGGGACTGTATTGCAAGAATGGTACTATTTCCTTTCTTTTGTTGGCCACAAACCTATGGCATAGGGCACTGTCCAGCACCTTTCTCCACTACTCCATTGCTATGGTCTCTTTTTCCTCATTGTATCCCTGAACCTTTTCCCATTTTGATACAATGCTCCTTGTTGCCAGCTTGGCCTTCAAGAAACCTTTGAGAAGGAATGAGCACAAGAGAGGTGAAAAAAAAATGAGAATGGCTTTCTCCTATGATATGCTCATCTTTGCCTTCTTTGTGTTTCTATTGGGCTCTCTGATACTTGCTTTCAGGGTCGTTGGGGAATATGACCCTCATGTACTGCAACTATGTACATGTATATATTTGATCAGTTGCTATCATCCCAAGAATATCACTACAGTCCTCCTTATGAAACTGCACTTGGTGGTTGGAGAGGAGCTGTAGCACAATCTGGCACAAACCTTCATTCAGCATTGTATTGACTGTACCATTGCTGGTACTGACAGCCTTAAATAACACCCTCAGATGGATGGGCTTACATCACTAACTTTTGTACTACCTTGATGTTTTCTTCCTTGCACACATTTCGGTATTTCAGATCTGTTCTTCTCCTCAACCTGATCTTTTCCTTCACAAAACATTTGAGGTTCTTTTTTGTTTTTTCAAGTTTATCCCAAAGTTAGATTGAATAGCATTTTTTTTGCTACATGTTGGTAGGTGTTGACATACTGGCAAAGAGGATCAGACTTACTGTGGCTCATCTACTGTAGTGCTCAAACCTGGGCAGATAGGAAGCTGTAAGTTGTTATCAAAACTGACTAATTGCAGATTTAGTTCACCATGGACTGGTATGCAAATTAAACAATATTGATATCTCCACAAAAATTTTCTCATTACTAATTGAACATACCTTGTTATGAAAAGTCAGAGTATGCTTATGTCTAACACTCACACTGCTAAAGATAGACATTTAGTACGATACCCATACACAGTCTTACTTCTTTTTGTCAACCACCAACTTCTACTGTATTATACTGATGAGCATTAAATAAGATGTTAGTGTCATTATTTGATATTTCTGAAGTTCTTCCTTTGCAAAACATTTATATATAAATATATATATATATATATATATATATATATATATATATATATATATATATATATATATATATATATGTGTGTGTGTGTGTGTTTGTTTGTTTGTTTGTGTGTTAGTGTGTGTGCGTGCGTGTGTTGTGTGTGTGCGTGTGCGTGTGTGTTTGTGCGTGTGTGTGCGTGTGTGTTTGTGCATGTGTGTGTGTGCGTGCGTGCGTGTGCGTGTGCGTGTGCGTGTGCGTGTGCGTGTGCGTGTGCGTGTGCGTGTGCGTGTGCGTGTCCATGCGTGTATATAAATATATATATATATATATATATATATATATATATATATATATATATATATATATATATATATATATATAATATATATAATATATATATATATATATATGTAGTATATATATATTTATATATAATATAATATAATATAATATATATATATACATAAAATATATTTTACATACATATATATAATATTTATATATATAAAGAAATATTTACATATATATATATAT